AATCACATGCCACATCACTTTCATGAACAGTTTCATTTGGAATAGCCTTTAATAATGACGCACTTGAAGAATGCAATTTCAACATGCCCTATAAAATCAATAATTAAAAAGTTAATTAACAAATCTGGGTTAATTGGTCAACATATTGTGACGGTTATCCCCTTATCTATGTCCGCCGAGCCCCACAAATCTCTCGCCCTCTTTTTTTAAATTACATTCAAACTAAAATGGTACATTCTGTATGATGCTGAACCCGATTATATCGAACTTTGTATGAAACTTTGTGAACAGACTAGTAGCTGCTATAAAAATGCATAGCGAAAAATGCGGTTACGTCGAAGGAAAATTGCAGCGTCTTCCGATAGATAGAACTGCCAAGAGTGCCGTTTAGCTTTGCAAGCTGGCTTTCCCCCAGCACGGGGACGCATTCGGGGAAGGCCAGCTTGCAGAAAAAGCTTGCCTTTTTTGGGCGGGAGGGAGGGGGGGGGGGGGGGGGGGGCGGGCAACCGCGTCGGCCCCTTGGAAGTGGGGAGAGGATGATCCGGTGAGATCTTGAAAAACGAAGAAGCGGCCACTGAATAGCCATGTGGAGTGTCCCTTATGACGTACAGACGCTCCTTCGAGAGTAAACAACTTTTCTAAATATGTCGTGTTTGTTTGTTGTCAGATTCATTCAAACTTTCATGTAGAATTACCCGCTATATCGAACTGGTAGACAGTCTTTTGCGAGTTCGACATAAGTGGGTTTGATTCTATACACCAACTCATGTTTACAAACAAACCGGAGCGCCCCTAGCGGACGCCACCGGCGCCGCGCATGCGCGGTGGATGGTGGGCAAGAAGCCCGCCGTCGCCCATAAACAAACCATTGAATTGCGTTGTTGTCGGCGTCGGTAGGAGTCCCCGTGCTCTTTTTCGCGTTGGAATTGTTGATTCTACGTCCTCCTAGCAATGTCTGACTACTTGAGCGGCTTCAGCAAAACTAACGAGGCAAAACTTTGCGTGAATAATGTGACGTGCGGCGATTCATTTCACGTGGACGCCGCAAAATCGGCGCTAAAGCCTGACTCCCACGATGAGATTCTGCTCGCTGTGTTCAGAGTGACGTTGCTCGGACTGCAAAAGCGTGGACCGTAGCTGAGATGGTGGACGTCGATACTAAAAACCGCAAGTAGAATCGGGCATTACAAGTCGGTGATGGCCACTGGTAACAATAATGATCAACATCTTGTATCTGTTAACACTTAGCCTACTTACCCCAACCAACTTTCAAAAGTGTTTTGAGGCCTGCACTTAGTTCTTATCGTAATTACCGGGTCAACGTTTGGTTTACGGGCCGCTGTCGTTTGAACGAGCTGACGACAAAAAGCAGCCAAGTTTGAAAGAGCAGACGACAGTTCGAACGCATGCGTAATGGGGTACGCGAAGCACCGCGTCCCGCGTCAACAAACCACTCGAATGTCACGTTGTCGGCGTCTGTGTGAGTCTGCATACTCTCTTTCGCGTTGGAATTGTCGATTCTACGTCCTCATCGCAATGTCTTACCACTTTAATCGCCTAAGCGAAATTATCAAGGCTCGTTACGCCGCTAAACTTTCCGTAAATAATTTGACGTGCGGCGATTCAATCGCATGAACGCCGCAGAAGGGACGCCAAAACCATAATGAGATTCTTCCAGCTATTTTCGGTAGCGACGTCGCTAGTGTTGCAAAAGTGTAGAAGGTAGCGGTGATGATCGACGTCGATACTGAAAATCGGAAGCGGGAACAGACTAAGCGTAACAAGTCGGTGATGGCCATTGGTACCAATGATCAGCATCTTGCATCTACTGTTTACACCGAGCCTACTGAAGTCTTTTGAGGCCTGCAATTACTTCTTACTGCAATCACCGGGTCAAAGTTTGGTCTACGGGCCGCTTTTGTTTGAACGAGCAGACGACAAAAAGCTGACGTTTAAAAGAGCAGACGAAGTTCGAACGATCAGGCGGCCGCGTGAGTTTGAACACGCACTGAACCCGTGGGTGGTTCGGACAACTTGACGGTTTTCTCTCGTTTATGTTGGAACAGAGCAAATACATCTGGCGACCACAAAGTGTTGCCCGCACACGCAATCGTAGTTCGACAGCGTCTGGTTAGCCCTTTTCACGGCTACTATCCACGTTCTCGGACGAACGGAGGGGGCAAAAACACATGAAAACTGATCTTCAAACCTTTCCAGACTCTCTTGGTACAACCCGCGTCGCAGCATTTTGACGAGAAGGCAGTTTTTTTGTCTCGTTTCTTCCAAGGGAACACAGGAATGCATGTCTGGCACGGCGACTTTTGCCCACCACCCCAGACCGGAAGTGCGTCCGGCGCGCCACCACCGCGGCGTGACGTAGGAGAGTTGAGTTGGTGTATAGCAATTCGTAATCATCGCTATTTGAAAGCTTTTTATGTCCAGTTCCTGGTTTTGACAAGTATTGGGCTTATGAAAGATACCGTCACAATGTCACCGTTTTCCACCATCAAAAACCCTAGAAAAAAGTGCTGGTTATACCCTTAATGTAATTTTTTTACACTTATGCCTGACTGCACGGGCCGCTAGCAAACGCCAAGCAGGCCGCGTGTTTGAGACACAACATATGGTGCCCCTCTCCTATCTAATGTTTGAGCAAGCCAAGATAAAACCATTAAAAAAGAAGTACAATGCTGATGCAGAATTCAGTTTAGAGAAAGTGATTAAGAGTGTTCAAACATCCTACCAGTCATTGAGAGTACTAATATACATCACATATTACAACCCTGCTTTTATTTGCCACTGCATGACAAGTACTTTGAGCTACTGTAATTTTAAACAATACCTACTGGGAGTTAACAATGTTCCATGGGCACATTGAAGTGACCAGATAAATGGGCATATTTCGCTGATATATTAGAAGAGAATGCCTGAAAGCGGTGGTTTTAATATTTCAAAGATAAGGACATAAACCCCCTTGCGTCAAAAAGAAGAAGAGAATTGTTGCAAATTGCAACAATTCTCTCCACGAAAAAAAAATTTCGTAGAGCTTTTTTTTTTTTCTTTTTTTTTTGTGAAGACATCAGTTTATTCAGGGTCACTATAGCATGTACTGCAACAGCAAATGATTGTAATAAAAAGGAAATGCCCTACGCATTGCTTACTTCATATAGCCGAAATAAAGGCCAGTGGCACAAAAAAAAATATAAATCTGGTGTTGGCACGCAAAAAATAAAAAAATATAGCTTTTGTGTTTTACCGAGGTTACCTAATCTTCCTATAATTTTACTGAAAGCTTCCACCATTATGTCACAGCTGTGTGCTCAATCCTATCAGTTTTATGCGGTCCATCCAAAGATCACCGGAACATTGTGAACTCCCAGTATAATACCAACTAGCTGCCGAGATACTGCCTTGATTGAGAAGATTTTTCAAATAACTGCTTAGGTTACGCTTACGTGAGATAGTTTGCACTCGCCTCTTAGGAATGCCGCTTTCTTGGGTGTCAGAGGCAGCCTGCTGTCCTTGTTAAGACTGACATTCGACGCCATTTCGGCCACAGTCCTCTGCAGGACACTGGACCCCCACAGAGCAATGGCCAGGTTCTTCACAGCAATGCTTGACCTTATGTCCTGGTTCACTTGTTGTCACCCCAGGCTTTCCACGTCACCTTGACATCAACCGTCGTAGAAATCCATCTATAAAAAATTAGAATAGGAAGCGAAACCGGTGTATTCGGTGGTGAGATCCTCCTTTCATGAAATGCTGCTTCGTGCATATTGATCAAAGCAAGTTTCGTTAGTTTAACTCCTTTTTTAGTTGAATCATTTTCAAAAATCCTGCGAAGCTCCCATGCAACACTACTACGGTGCTCGAGCTATCAAGTTCTTTTATTACGTTCCCTGATTCTGCCGCTGTCAACTGCAAGGGGTACTGGGTGGCAAGCCCTCTTGTAGTGTCGGCTGCTGGCGAAGATTATTTGGCCGGCTCAAAAAAACCTGACAGTGCGATCACTGGCTGGCCTTGTGATTTCGCTCTTCCCTTTCCAGCCCCCTTTGCCTCCTTAGATGGTGTTTCATGAATCCCCCCCCCCCCCCCCCCCGAACTTTTCGGTCGGCGTAATGGACAGAGAACATGAGAAGATGCGCCCACTGATTTGAGTTGCCGGTGCAAGGCGCGCCACTTTTTTACCTGTGTGCGGGGTTATCATGCAACCTCGAGCGTGGCTGGGACTATAAAACTAACGCTTTAAAAGAGAAGAAGCCACTTTATGCTCCAAGAGTGCTGAGTTTCATTCCCATGTACCTGGTGAACATAGGAAGAATAGACCATTTTCAAAACTTAAGCAAACAACATTGACAGTCGCCATTTGTTGGACACGAAAGCTGTGATTGGATCGAAGACCATGTGAAATGCTGACGTTGCACTCACGTCTATCCACGCCAATCACTGACACGGCGCTTGTTTCCAAAGCGTACTCGGAATCCGCGTTTAAGAAATGGCGGCCTTGGATATGCACACACTTCTGAAAAGGGTTTATTGTATGGGCCAAAGGTAATTAATGGGGAATACGATGCTCCAAGTCTTTCCGCCTAATGCACTCAAAATGTTGAGCAGAATGTTAGAGATGCAGGTTTAAACTTTCTACAAAGAGATGTCGCCTTAGATATGTTTTTCAAGACACTAAAACTTGGGTCTTACACCACTGCTGAAGTGATGCAACACCAAAAAACAATAATTTGTGGCGATGGTGCTGAAAGAGAGATCTTATTTGAGCAACATTTATCGAGATCTAGATGGTCAATGACAAATTGTCAAGGCCTTTTCATCTTGAAGACATTGTGCAAGCATAGAAATGCCTTCTCTCCAGAGGTATCTCTTATAAAGCAAAAACTTACCAAATCAACTTACCATTTCACATTCTAGGAAGTTTAGCAGCTGATATGGCTCCACCTCAGCGGGCTCTTTAGCAGCTGCCTCAGCGGATGCAGGTCTGACTGTACCAGCTGCTCCATCTAAGGTTGCAGGTATTGCAGCTGCACCACCGAAGGCTGCATCTGTGTTGCACATGCTCTGCATCACAGGAGCTGGTGCTGCTGCCACTTATTTTGTGAAAAATATAAAAAAATATATGACATGAGTCAGAACAATGTGCAGGACTGCCACATGATGTGTATAATGCTACAATAAAAGCTGAGAGTGGGAGTGGGGTCAACCAACCACGCACCAGCTTGGAGCAATGCGGCTGCACTCCTGCCCCTGTGTATACATGGAGAGCAGTGCCACATAACACAAGGCTGATTGCAGTTTGGTCTAGCCCATACGCAGCTTCTATGACACTGTCAGCCAAAAACTTAATAGGTATAGTAAGGGTCGTGGACATGACATTTATGATGCTTTAGCTTGTCAAAGAGAGTATGTTGAATGCATACCATGCTCCTGCAGTCATGTATTCGAGGTTAGGAAATAGCACGGAATATTTTTCATAAATATCTACTGCAAAGCTTCGCAACTCAGGAGTGTTCTGAAGAGTTTTACAGATTATAGCTTCTTGACTACACGGCTTGATAGACCGAGTAAAATGTTTTTGAGCATAAGTGAGGCAGAGATGTACAAGAATCGATGCAAAAAGTCCGCAGTACGTGGAGACCAGAGTTCGGAACAGGTGTGACAGCATTTGGCACGACAAATATGCCAATGTCATTATTTATTTTCGCAACATTAAAATGACTCTGAAAATGCGACCAGCTATGGGGTGTATTCACGCAAGTCTTGTGAGTGTTGAATTGTAGGTACAGCTCCTGGTTGTGTACTTGTGCGATATATGACAAAATATTATAGATATTTATACTGGAAACTTCTCTGAAAACCAATGGGCACGGTGGCGAAGGACGTGAGAGGCACTGTTTACCACTCTTGCCGTTCGTTTGTGTTTGTGTGTTGTTACTTATGCCCGAGTCCCACTAGAGCGACAAACAGAAACAGACGACATCGACAAGCCTTCAACACATGCGGTATTTTCGCGATGGTATACCTTTGGCAGGCGTTTATAGTCGTTCGGTGCTCGTGAAGTGACCCCGGGTGATTGCAAGCCTGCCGAAGATACCCTCGCGTGCGTAATACTTGTATCCGAGTGTAGCCTCTTTTATTCTATGCACAAGCCTGTGAAATCGCGACAGAGACTCTGGTTTGAGGCTCGTCACTGTCGTTTGTTTCTGTATTGTCGCTCTAGTGGGACTAGGGGCTAACAAGCGCACCAATGGGAAGGCTTTAGCCATTATTGGGAACACTAAATAAAGAAATACAAAAAAATACAACACCCAGCAACACTGCATGCAAGTAGTGATGCACTTCTGTTGTCAACTCTGCATTCCGCTTACGAATGAAATGTGCAATTCCCCTAGAGGCTTTCATTCCAGGCGAGTGGCATTAGAATTGCTGAAGGCCAGCCCATAAACACAGTCTATGTTAGAACAATCGCAGCACCAATAAGTTGCTATTGTATTGCCCAATATATAGAGCACCTTACCATAAACAGCCTTGGCAGTCTCCCATGAAGCCTGGACTTCAGCAGAGGAGACTGTCATCCTGTGTCGTCCCAGGACACTCACATCGGGATGGTAAAAGTGAATGCCAACTTCTGCTTGGCAAGGGCTGCAGTAAGTATAAAGATGAAAACAGAGTACAATATACAATAAAAAATATTGTGGACCAACTTGAAAAAAGTGCACAAAAAAAAAAGACAAGGACAAAAGGACAGGAACACGTAGAACACAGACAGGTGCACACTAGCAACTCAATCCATTAAAAACAAAAGAAAGAAGGGAGCATCAGAGAAATCAAAAAGGCTGTGCTCGGAGAACTGAGCTTCAGGAACCGTGGCGCGAGGCAAAGATGTCGGGTAGATTGTTTTACAGAAGTTCTAGAATTAACAACATCCTTTCCATGTAGTAAAGTGGTGAGTTCATTCTAACTGAACACATTAAAAAATAGTACACAAAAGACAAGGAATAAAGGGTCGAGGAATACATACACTACATACAACTGCAGACTCCCAAGTCACATAAATTATAGCAAAAATAAAAAAAAAAGAATGCAGAAGGAGTTTTAGCAAAAGTCTAAACAGGTCCAAGTGGAACGTGTTAATTCAACCATAGCCACAAGGCTAAAAACAATTTCCTTGTTAGCTCAAGTAACAGACGAATGTGCAGACACATTGGTTGCCCATACTATGAATAATAAACGCCTAAAATAATCCTCTTTTATGTTTTTCATAGTATATGCTAATTATCCACGCTTTTTTCTAAGGATGACATACACGAGCAGTGTAAACAGTGGATAGATAGCTGACAGTCCATCGTGAATTTTAGATAGAAATTGAGCTGTTTTGATGTATTAGCCATCGATCTGTTACCTTAAACGACGAGAAAATTATGGTTTTAAAATCTGCACTTGCGAATGGGTAAATCAGCGCGTTCCACTTGGGCCTCTGCTCGAGCTCCTTCCGCATTCTTTATTTCCTTCTTTGTTTATGCGAGTTGAGTCTGCGCTTGCATGTGGTCTATGTGTTACCCTCCTTGTCTCCATGACTTTTTGTGAACTAATTTTCAAGGTGTTCAATTAGCCCCAGCTCATCCCCTTACTACCAAAAACAATTACAACCTACATTATTCACTAAAGGCAGTACCAAAGAGAAAAAAACAGGAATTGGGTGAGGTATGAACACTATATACTTACACTGAACAAAATATACCTCCCATAAATTGGCGCGACACAATTCAAAATAAGGACACGCTTGTAAACTACCCCAGAAGCGGTGTCAAAAAGTTTTTCGCGGGCACAAATTTTTGCGATCGGGAGTGGCATGCTATGCATTAATCACCGTGGGGTGATTTTACCGCGGCACCAATTTTCGGCAATTCTTTTCCGGTTATAAATCGAGAAAATGAAGTCGTTTGCAGGCGACTGGGCGGCGGAAGCTACGGGCCTGCTCGATCAATCAATCGCTGACTTTTGCCTGGTCCAGCTCTCCGGACGCAAATACGCACACAGAATCCACCTGTGGTGTCAAACCTAGAGCTTCGGCGATGGAGGGGCACCGCGCTCTTCCAGACATTCTAGTTTACCAGTAAACAGTACGGTGGAGGAAGGCAATCAAACCCCCCCCCCCCTCCCTTTATTTTTCCGTCTTAGCATGCCTGCCTGCCTGACTGCCTGCCCGCCCACCCCCCGCCCGCCCCCATGTCCCGAAAATTTCCGCCGCTACTGATGGACCTGGAGCGAGTATGCAGCCTAAGCGCTCATCTGTGACCGCTAATTGGTGCGAGGATGGAGTGCTCTGCATCGGGGAAAAAAAGAAGAAACACAGCCTGGCATAACACCATTCGCGCACAATTAGTAACAACGATACAAGCAAGTGATCTAGAGACAATAACGAGCATTATGAAGGGAGGAAAGAATAATCTAGCCCTAACGAACAAAGAAAGGAACTTACTTTGAAACGACCGTGCCACGATCTCGGCTGTTGAGCAGATTCGACGTAGTTGCACGGCTCACAGTAGCTTCCTTTTTTCAGACACATTTGAAACTAAGGTGAACTCCACGCATCACGAATAATCGGTAAATTTACTTTATGACGGAGATTTGAAACACACACGGACAACGCGACCGGCAAAACGTGCAAAATAAGATTGTGGATTATATTGGATTAGAGCACTATATAGCTCCTACGGAGCAGAGTAGCGCAATCCTTTGAACCCCGTGTTTTGCCGACAACATGGCCGACAGAGCGGCTCGGCGCGAGTCACGTGGTACTCAGGGTTCCAGGAGGCGGCCCGCCCTATGGGAGAATACATGGAGATCGATACAACACGGCTGATTAAAAAATGAACGCCGAGTTCACACTTCTCAAAACTAGTCTGCCGTGAAGTTAGTAAAGCACTAAACACTCTATCAAAGTTTTAATAATATCGGATGCGTGTGCAAATTTTGAGAAGGCAATTTCCAAGGCAATGGCGTTTGAAGCAGACGATTTTTGCTCGCAGCGGAGATGGGCTTTTCGGGTTGGCCGGAGCGGGTCACGTGAATGGTGTGACGTCGCCGTGTCGTCTGCTGCATGATGCCGCTCAAGCAATTTTTTAAAAAAAGTCAGGTACTTGCGGGGCACAAAACTTAGCGCAAATTATTCTAAAATGTTCCATTATTATGTCAAAAACGATTTCCATTCCGTACATCCCCACAATACTAAAGAAACAACGATTTTCTCACGTTCTCCATGCATTTCTGACCGCAGTTGGAACCTCCGGGCGTTCGCCGCTAGTCGCCGAGAGGCGGCGTTCTAGATTGCGCTACTCTGCTCCGAAGGAGCTATATAGTGCTCTATATTGGATCGCATTCGTTGGCTATTATGGATGCCTAGCGACTTTACCGAGGCTATGTTCGCGTATCTTCAACACGCTTGCAATAAAACGATCAGCAAAGCGCTTTAAAACGATTACAAGACACAGTAATATTAAATTATTGAGCATGTCAATATCACCAGAATGTTAGAAATACAATCCTGAACAGGTAGCAAAAAACTAAATACGAGACTAGCCAACCAATGTTTAAAAACGAATTCAGCAGACATATAAGTTCCAAAAAAAAAAACCACTGCAACCGATGGGGCGCGTGGCCGGAGGAAGACGAAGAAGCCGTCTGGAACGGCTGCTATATAATGAGTTCTGGTGGAAACACCGCATCGGCCACTGGCCGAGTTATTATTGAATCGTCTGATATCGTCTCAAGTGAGTACAAAGTCACCCTGCCACGTCTCCCAACCGGTAACCTCGTCCTTAACTCGGTATTCCTTCACGCTGACATGACTGCGCGGCCATACAATGCACCCGACTTCCGAGATGCTCTCAAAGATGTGCTGGACTTAAAAGATATCAAAGCCACCGGTCAATTTCAGATGGGCCATGTGTGGATGGTGACCTGCGTCAACGCCCTAGCCAAAGAAAAGCTCTGCCGCCGCGGTGAGCTCCTCGTTAAAGGCAAGAAATGCCTGGTGATCGACCCTAACACACGTGATCTTAAGATAAAACTCCTGTGGCTTCCTGACCATCTTGAAGATAGACGCATCGTCGACGCTCTGACGCCTTTCGGCGTCGTTCATAACATACAACGAGAGAAGTGGCGCTGTCCAGGAATGGAACACATGGACACCCTGAACAGGGAAGTAAACATCACCATGCACGAAGGAATGACCATAGAACGGATTCCTCACCTGCTTCAGGTGTTCGGAATCCAGACGCTCGTCATTGTCCCCGGAAGACCTCCATTGTGCCTTAGGTGCAACAGGGTCGGTCACATTCGACGGCAGTGCAGAACACCGCGCTGCTTCAAGTGTGGCATCTACGGACACATCGCGGACACTTGCGTCACAACTTACGCAAGTAAACTCCGTGGCAAGGTGTCGCGCGAGACAGAAGAACAGTCGGAGCTATTGATGGATGTCTCCGAGATTGTCGACGCTTCGGGTCAAGCACCGTCGGCCGCAACATTCGAAAAGTGCACTGAACGAGAACTTCCAGTCGCGGTGCCCAGCACCAACCAGGCCAAAGACGACCCCGGTGGCCTTCCTGAGCCACCTCCACCGCCTGGCGAGGACGATACGTCATCTACGACGTCAGAATCGACCATCACTGCAGAAGATGCTGCAAGCCGAGATCAGGCACTTGTTGAGGTGGACTCGGAGCCCGATGTCAGTGGATCGTCCGTTGAACCATTACAGTCAACTCAAATGCCAGAGGCTGTTTTCGAGGCTGACCCGGACAACATCCCCTCCGCGGATGTGACCGCTCCAACAAGAGCCATAAAAGAACGCAAGCAGGCTGGCACTCGACACAAGCCGTACTCAAAGCCATCGGCAAACCTCAAGGTCATTGAGGACAGCCAAAGTGGCAACTTGAGTACACCCTAATTTTTCTTATGTCTGCCGCCCTTCCTTTACATTTTGTAACCTTAAATGTGAGAGGTCTATGCTCTAGAAGGAAACAATATCAGCTGTTGCGCCTTTTTAGAGAGGAGAAAGTTGACGTAGCAGCGGTGCAAGAGACGAAGCTATCTTCAGACGAAAGTATTGCTGAAGCCTTAGAGCCTTTTATGAAGGAATATGAAATATGCGTTAACCAAGCTATTGGGGTCTCCGCTGGGTGCTTTCTCTTCTTTCGAAAGCAGCTTGATATGTCATCAGTCTCCATTTTTATCGACCTGGAAGGGCGTCTCATTTCCTGTGACCTCAGCTTTAGACAGATGAATTGGCGCTTCATTTGTCTATATGCTCCTAATACCCCGAAGGAAAGAACATCATTCTTTGAAATTTTAGTACCACTTCTTAGGACTGACAGAACGATAGTCCTAATGGGAGATTTCAATTGTGTTTGTAACGTAGACGATCGATCTGTATCAGCAACTAGGTATGACAGAAGTGCCACTGTTCTTCAGAGCATGCTTCAAGAGCATAACCTTGCTGGTGTTGCTTATAGGAAAGGGGAACCGATACGTTACACACATTTTCAAGGCATCTCGCATGCGCGATTAGATAGGATTTATGTATCGGGCTCTATAATTGACTCTATGACCGACTACCACGTTAAACCAGTGTTCTTCTCCGACCATTGCCTAGTAACAGCTTGTTTTGGTCCGCGGAGACACCGATCTGTTTATCAACAGTGGGATTTTTGGAAGCTAAATGTGAAACTTCTAAAAGACATTTCTTTCTCAAGAAAGATCCCCATGGTCTTGTCACATTATATAGAAAAAGTCGACATGCATATATTTGCTAAATGGGAAAGTTTCAAGCAAGAGACGAAAAACCATGCAATTGAGCGCTCCACGATAATATCATACATAAACAAACAGGAACAGCGTGAACTGCATAAGAACCTAACAACGCTATACGAATTGGAATGCCTTAACCCAGGTGAATATAGTGACGATGTCAATGTAGTCCGAGGTCAACTACAAAAATATGAAACAGAAAAGTATCGAGGAGCCTTGATCCGCTCTCGAAAGAAACGTTTCTTCCATGGTGAGCAGCCTACGAAGAGGTCTCTGGACGATGAAAGGCGATATGCCTTGACGAAAGAAATTGTAGAGATCAACAACAATGGATCGACGCTCACTGACCCAACAGAGATTGTAAAATCATTCCATCAACTTTACACAAATATTTTTGGAACACTAATACCTACGAAAGAGAAGTCTGAAGTTGAACATCTTTTGTCTCAAATGCCGATACTTGACGAAACAGACCGAAAGTTAATTGATGGTCCTATAACATTGGAAGAAATCAAAGCTGCTATTAAATCTCTCCCTAATGGTAAAACGCCTGGGCCTGATGGGCTGAGTGGAGAATTTTATAAAGCGTACGCAGACATTATATCTCCTGTTCTGCTCGCTGTATTTCACGAAGCCTTTGTCCAGAGAGCTCTGCCGCCTTCCTTTTATCATGGTCATACAGTACTAATCCCAAAAACAAAAGACGCAGAGATGCTTAAAAAGATGGAAAATTACAGACCTATATCCTTGTGCAATGTTGATTACAAAATTTATGCAAAAATACTTAACGACAGGCTACAGTGCGTAATCGAAACGCTGATAGGTAAACACCAAACTTGTGGAATACGAGGCCGAGCTATTCAAACGAATATTCATGTTGCTCGTTCAGTACTGGAGTGCGTGTCCGACAATAACGACCAGGTAGCGTTCGTACAAATAGATCTTACGAAGGCTTTCGACCGCGTGAGTCATTCCTTCTTATTTACACTGCTAAACCATATCAACGTAGGGACAACACTTTTAGATGGTATCAAGCTTTGCTACTCAAGCTGTTCAACAAGACTCGTCATTAATAATATTCTCTCCAACGAAATCAAAATAAAATCTTCCGTTAGGCAGGGCTGCCCGCTATCCCCGCTACTTTTTGCCCTGTACTTAGAACCTTTATGTCTGAGCATCATAAACAATGAAAGTATTCAAGGATACTCCCTGGGCAATGTTGAAGTAAAAGTTCTTGCGTATGCAGATGACGTGGCATTTTTTGCACAGACAAGAGAAGCGTCGAGAGAGCCCTTGATCTCACAGCACGTTACTGTGAGGTCACAGGAGCTTCCGTAAATCCTGCTAAATGCAATGGCTTCTGGTATGGTTCCTGGGCCACAAAACCTTCATTGTTTGCTGGTATAGCGTGGAACCGGAATCCCCTTACATATCTCGGAGTACCTCTCTCACAAATCCGTAGCAACGTGACCTACTGGTCCTCCTTGACAACCACACTGAAAAAGAAAACAGACGCGTGGAGAGGAAGGGACATTTCAATTTTCGCTAGATCTAGTGTTTGCAATGTATTTCTAGCTTCTAAGTTTATGTACGTGCTCCAGGTGCTTCACTGCTCTCGGACCAACATCCAGAAAATCCACAGAATATTCGCTACATTCATATGGTGTTCAACTTGGGAGCCCATAAAAAGAGACAATCTCTTTCTTCCTCTTGAATGCGGCGGTTTAGGTCTTTGTCATATATTTGTGCGACAGCTGGTCTCGCGATTATTTTTCTTTAAAAATGTTAATCACGATTTCCTCAGAGTAATGCTCCAACGACGTCTTTCTGGTAGTTTAAACTATCTGATTGTTTCAACCGT